AACCACCCTCTCGATCACTTTGCTTAAGAATGGTAACATAGAGACTGGGCTATAGTTGTTCATGTCCAGGGGGTCCAGGGAATGATTCATGGGAAAATCCTGTGAATGATTTGTTGCTGTTTATTATCAGGTTAGTCACGGGATAATGGCACTTTAATTGCTTTTCACACCAATGTCGTGTGAAAACCATTACCGTAATTGTGCAATTATTACGGGATATTCCCAGGATAATCGCGCTTTGAACACGATGTCATGTGAAAAATTGCAAATGCATGATTTTGATGGGTTAATCACCATTTATACTTCCACTTGTTCCTGTGTGATAAACTCCTTACAATATTTAGTGGAGAGATGGCAAATGTGTGCCCCTCTTGAACTTCAAACACAACAGGAAAGGAAAAAAGGAACATACTCAAGATCATAATCTGTTGTTTAGCTATAGTTCTTCAGGTCACACCTACCTTATCCCCATGCTGGACCATCTGTGCCAGGATAGTTGCTAAAAAGAGAGAGAAAGAGAGAGGAGAAAGAGAAATGCATCATCTAAGTTGAATGGGGCAGAATAATTGCTCTGCTTTACATAGAAATACAGTACAACTTCCATAGATGGGGAGGTTGTATCTTGTGTTCCTGTTTTGTCAGCTGCTGAGATGAAAATCACTGATGGTCAACCAGAATGTCCTTCTGCTCCCTTTTTATGGTTCTTTTTTTAACAAGACTTGGGAGGACAGTCCTACAAGCAGAATGCCTTTGAATAAAAGTCTATCTTATTTAAATTATACCCTACCTGTATTTGGCAGCATCAGCCATGTTGTTTAAATGTTAAAATTTCTTTAAAATTTAAAATTTCTTACAGAATGAAGCTTCTCATCCTTGGCTTGCAATATAGCATCATTCCTGGAACTTCTGGGTAATTAAAAATGGTGCCTGTAATTGTTTGTACTTTATTTACAAGCAAAAGTTCCTGGCTATGCATAGGATTATGCTAGAGTCTATCGTAGTTTCTCTTCCACCAGTGTTCTTTGCTTCCCACCCACCAATGTATTGTTTTTCCTCCTCAGCTCCCATCTGCTGACCCCACAATCCAGATAGACTTCTTCCTGCATCCACCCATCTATCACTTTATTTATTACCTGTCTTTCTGCCAGGCTGGGACATCCATCAAGCTTGGGTCATTTCCAGAGGTGGAACCTTGTTTTTAAAATAGTAATTTGTTGCATACAGTCAGCCCTCCACATCCATGGATTCTGCATCCATGGATTCAGCCATTCATAGCTTTTAAGAAAAAAAAATCCAAAAGCAAACCTTTATTTTGTCATTTTATATAGGGGACACCAATTTACTATGCCATTGTGTATAATGGGACTTGAGTATCCATGGATTTTGGTATCCACTGTGGGTCCTGGAACCAAACTTCAGCTGATACCAAGGACCTACTGTATTACTTTTCTGAATTAACTTGTTCTTAGAACCTTATATAAACATTATATAATGAATACACACACACACTTATTATATAAAGACAACAAAAACACTGGTAACATCTTACTAATACATTAGTTTTTCATCATATTAAAATGTTTTTAAAGCAGCAGATAAAAATATGAAAATGAGTGAACATCTCCTATAACAGTATGCAAAGGGATCTTGCAGCATCTTTGAGACTACAGGTTAGTTTCTGTGGTGCAACAAGATCCGTTTGCATACTGATTTTCCAGACTAACACAGCTATGTCTTTGAATTTTATCTCCTAGAATAGTCCTCAAAAAGCATTGTTTAAAGACTGAGGTATAAATATCACTTGTTAACATTAATGTTTAGAGCTGTTGCTCATTACTTCTTTTTTTAAAAAAAAAAAAGATGCCTGCATCGGTAATGTCATTACCTTAAATAGTAACACATTACAGGTACACATTATAGATGATTTTGAGAGCTGGGCAGTGAAGAAAAGTGACAGCAAGAAAATCAACTCATTTAAAATGTGGTGTTGAAAGAGTGCTCTATGGATACCATGGACTACCAATAACATATAAATGGATCTGAGAGCAAATAAAGCCTGAACTTCCCCTAGAAACCAAAATGAGAATGCTGAATCTGTCATACTTTGGACACATGATGAGAGGACATGACTTACTGGAAAATATTATAATAGTAAAGCAGAAAACAACAGGATGAGAGGAAGACCACATTACAGATGGATTTACTGAATAAAGGATGGAACAGCCCTGGATTTGCAGGGCTTGAGCAGGGCTGATGACTGAGTTTCAGGGAGGTCTCCCATGATTGATTGTGATAAATAGAATAGAATAGACTGATATTACACAATATATACAGATAACAATAAACACACACACTTCCTAATCCTAAAGTATTTTCAGTTATCATCAGTAGAACTGAGCTCAGTGGAAGAGAAATTTTCATCTCACTGTGCTTAGAACTGGAAAAGTTCTCACTAAAAATTTCATGAGGATTTGCATAATGACTTTAACCATGCCATCCTATAGCTAATTACTCAAAAGTGAGTTCCATTGAATTCAATAGGACTCAACTCCCAAATAAGAAGGTAGGGGATTGCAACCTAAGTATCTTGTTTTCTTTTTAGGTGCTCTGTCCTATGCAGACCTAGGCACAAGCATCACAAAGTCTGGAGGACATTACATTTACCTTCTGGAGACTCTTGGGCCCTTACCAGCCTTCCTAAGATTATGGGCTGAATTCATTATGATCCGGTAAGGAAAGCTTTATTTTCTATTTCTGTGTTTAGAGGGGGGGGGAAGTGGGGGGAATGCAGACTGTATGGAAGGATTTTTTTTATTGGGAGCTTTGTCTCTTTAAATCTCCCCATTGTGGGCATGTTCCAGCTGTGTTTTTAGAAGCAGCCAGCTGGTGAATGCAGCACCACTGAGATCTAACAAATGTTGGGGAAGGAGGAAGGGACTGCAAAAGGCATTTAAGAAAAATGTGGAGCAGTGGGGAGGAATGAACAAAAGAAAGAATAATAGAGCGAGCCCTGGGAGAGAATATCAAACTATCCAAAAACAACTTTTTTTTTTGCCGCAAACCAAAGTCTATCTCATCCAGGCCTAAAACCGACAATATTTTTACTAATATGCAGGGATCATTGTACTTTTTGCAGCAGAAGGCAACACCATCATAAACGTTTTGTGGC